AATTGTCCATCAGCTGTAAGAGCTGAGTGAATACTGGGATGTATCCCTGAATACTGCGCCCTATTCTATGTTGGCTAAGCCTACTGTGGAAAACTCACATGTTGGAGCTTATTGGCAATGTGCTTGGAGTTTCCCTTAGTTATATTCTGAGTAGTATTTGTATTATAATGGAATAAAATTTAAGATTACCAAAAGTGGAAGGAAGTTCTTTGGGTCTTTGGATTAAAAGTAGCATTTATGAAAATGCTATTTATAAAAATATTATCTGTAATATTTTTTTTTAAAAGTATGACTTCTGAAGCAATTATCTGTCAAATATTATAATTTACATAATTTATCAAATGTTAATTCTCACCTAGGAATAAACTTAAAAAATAGAGTCTAAAAGGTTTTTTTTTTCCTGCTACTTTTCTTTTCTCTGTTTAAAGGGCCAATTACATACACTTGATTTTTTTTTTCTTAGCTACTGAGCATGAAACAAACCAAGAGGCAGGGTACTTCTTTCACTTTATTTTCAATTAAATGATACCAAAAGTTGTGGTCTTTAAGAAAAATCTACATGGTAGATTATGGATAGTAAATCAGTTGAAGATACCTCCTTTTCTCCACAATGACAGAAAACTTTGGAAGTAAATTAAAAATATAACACAGACATTTTGACACAATGACCCCATGAAACTGAATAATGTCATTTGTTAAATGTGGATGTAAAATGAAGAGTGTGGAGCAAACTGAACTCACACCCAGCAATGATGCCTACTTGATATGCAAAGCAAGTTTTCAATTTTATTGAAATAGGATGTATTCAATTTTTAATAATATTTAATATCTGTTTAGAAAGACAAACCTTAGGCTTTATTTTATCTATGATATGCAGAAGGAAGGAGGGAGGGAGGGAGGGAGGGAGGGAGGGAGGAAGGAAGGAAGGAAGGAAGGAAGGAAGGAAGGAAGGAAGGAAGGAAGGAAGGAAGGAAGGAAGGAAGGAAAAAGACTATTGTACTGTTTGGTGGTAGCTTCTAAAATAATAAGTCAATTTTCAGAAAACAAATTACAGTAATAGAATATAAAATGAAACTCACATTTTAATTTCATTAATTCTTAAGTTCTTCTTATTGATTTAATTGTTATGTATAGGTTCCTATCAGATCTGAATAGATCTTTCAGTACATGTAAGTCTTATAGGTCAGAAGATCCATTGCATACTCAGGCAACCTTTTAATAGCTGAGGGCTAGTAAACTGTTTCATTTGTGTGGGAGAATGTGATCCAGTGGTGGGATTTAATTTTACTACTGGTTCTGTAGGTGTGGCTTGGTGGGAGTGTCAGGGGAAGGATACTGTAAAATCTCCAGTCATAGGTAGTATTTGCTGGATCTCCGAACTACTAAAATTTCCCACTACCGGTTCTCCAGAACTGGTCAAAACCTGCTGAATACCACCTCTGATGTGATCCCAGATGTGCAGGTTTGCTGTATATTACAAGCAAGGGTAAAGCCTCAAAACAAGATTTTCTGTTTTCCCTATTTTGCATCGAGGGGAAGAATTCTACATTTAAAAAAAATTAGACTTTTAAAAACCATTTTTGTTTCTTTTGTTTGATAAATGTATGCAGAAACCATACTAATTAATTAGGTCCATTTTGATTAGAAGGGGCTTTTGAGGGTTGCAGAAAAGAAGGGTGGGTATGTATGTGTGTGTGTGAGAGAGAGAATCTCCAATTTTTAGCTACTGAAATACTTCTGTAATTTTTTTGCAGTAGATTCCTCTATCCATTCTAGAATGATATCTCATTACTTGGAAGTCGACATATCTGCTGGTTTTGTTATAAACATAATTTCATGTGCAGCAAAAGAATGATTTGGAATGCAGATCAATTGTATCAGTGACTCATTATTTTGAATAATTGATAGCATTGAAATTGTGAAGTCAATTTTTTAGAGTTCAGGTGAAAATAAACCAATCGCAAAGTCCCATTTCACATTTTCACAGTTGATAATGGTGACGGCAACTCAGTATTTTGCTACCATCAGATCTGTTCAGTTCTGTGCAACTGAAAATCTGAAAACAGGGTTAACTTTTCCTCCAGATTGCAAATAGACAAGTTATAGAACCATTTAAAAAATCACAGTGACCCTACTGTTTTTGCATTATGTAATACAATACAGCATCTTACAATAGCATTCGATTGTAAGTACTGTATGATCATTTAATTAGACTGTAAGCAATTCTTTTTCAGTATGTGCAATCTGACCATATGGACACATTGTTTGGAAGTCTGAATCCTATCAGCTTTTATATTGACCATAAGAATTGCAGAAGGGAATATTTGGAAGTTAACAGTAGTGAATATCCCTTGATGCTAAAGTGTATTCATTTGTCATCTTAAATAAACAGTGCAGTCCAATGCTACATAAATCTACCTTTATGAGATGTATTTGAACAACCACCTTTCAATCTATAATTACTCATTTTGTGCAACAATTTGTGGTAGCATCTCTTAGCTTAACTTTTTTTGTATTTATTGGCTATTTAAATTCTTTCCAGCCTGATACAAGGATGGATGACAGCAAAGGAGCAGCCTTAGTACCTTGTTCCTCTGGACATTTCTGACTATATTTAAATACAAATCAGGAAATGCCATCAGAATTATTGGAGAATGTATTGTTGTTATTTTCAAGTGAGGTGGTATGATTTGCATCACAAGTTGGCCCCCAAAATACCTCAGAAATATTTATTGATTCAAAAATTGCAACAAATTCATGCATTTGATAACGTTGGTTAGAAAAGTGTATTGGAAATATAAATGAAATCTTCAGATACAATGGCTTGATTTGACAAAATGAATTATAGGTAGTCCTCAGCTTACAACCATAATGGAGCCATTATGGTTGTAAGCCATGATGGTCATAAAATGATTTGTCATGTGACCTGCCTGATTTAGGATCTTTTTTCAGTGGTTGTTAAATAATATCAACATCATGTATATATCACTCCTTGGACCTTTAGAGCACTCTCTGGGTGGTTTACAACACCAGCATATTGCCCCCAACATTCTGGGTTCTCGTTTTACCAACCTCACAAGGATGGGAGGCCGAGTCAACCTTGAGTCAGACAGGATCGAACTGCTGGTAGCTGGCAGAGTCAGCCACCAATACTGCAGTCTAAACACTGTGCCATCATAGTTACTAAGTGCTGAATCACCATGGCCATTAAGTGAATCCATTGGTCACCATGGCATTTTTGCTGAAAACCAAAATAGGTCATAAATTATGGTTGCATGACTTCAGGATGCTGCAAACAGCCATAGATGTGGGTGAGTTGCCAGTTGCCAAAAATGCAGGGTGGGTGGGGGGACTTTGCCACTGGAACTTCAAAACTGGATTATAAGTACTGTTTCACTTTTCCATCATAGTTTCAAATAATCACCAAGTGACTAGGTGTAAGTTAGGGGCTACTTGTATACAACCAGGAGCTGCATATTTTTCAGCTCAAAATCAGGTTTTAAAATGTTTGTAGTCAGAAGTAGTTAAGTACGCTTGTTGTGGATTCTTTGCAAGTGCCACCAGGCTACCTGAATAGCAATAGCACTTAGATTATATACCACTTTACAGGGCTTTACAGCCCTCTCTAACTCGTATACAAAGTCAGCATATTGCCCCCAACAATTTTGGTCTTCATTTTACCCTTTGGAAGGATAGAAGACTGAGTCAACCTTGAATAGTTCAATCTTACCTGTTTATAATGAGCCCTATAATTTTAAGAACCGAGAACTTAGAAATTTCCTTTATTTTCAACTTTTTCTTCTACCTTTGCATCACAAACTTAAAGGCAGAGATTATCTTGCTTCTGATATTTGCAAGTTTGGGGGATAGTTTAGCAAAGAGCAAAGCAAAAATGCTTTAAAAAAATAAAGGTTAAATGAAACCTTGTGCTTCTAGTAAGAAAAGCTTGTTCAGATTTACCTGTGGCTGATATTTAGAAAAATGGGCATGTTAATTGCAATCACACAATTAATGTCTTATCAAGTGACAAGATGCTATGTGTTTTGCAGAACTACAAGATACGGATAGCAAGGCACCATTTCTACTTACAATGCATGGGCTAATTAATACAAGTAGTCCTTGATTTACAATAGTTCATTTAGTGACTGTTCAACAGCATGAAAAACATGACTTTTGACCATTTTTCACAGTTACGACCATTGCAGTATCCCCATGGTCATGTGACTTACATTCATATGCTTGACAACTGGTTCATACTTATGATGGTTGCAGTGTCCTGGGGTCATGTGATCACCTATTGCGACCTCCTGACAAGCAAAGTCCTTGGGGAAGCCAGATTCACTTAACAACCATGTTACTAATTTAACAACTGCAGTGATTCACTTAACAACTGTGGCAGGAAAAGTCATAAAATGGGGCAAAACTTCACAAATTCCTCACTTAGCATCATAAATTCTGGGCTCAGTTGTGATCATAAGTCGAGGACTATCTATAAAGGGACATTAAGGATAAAGTATTGGGCACAATCTAGTTTTATCTTGCATGTTCAGACTTATTTCTTCATAGTTTTCAAACAGATAAATAATAATACTTGTCGTATCTTTGTTATGCACTTACAAGGAGACTTAATACAAAATAATAAAATACAACATAACAAAAATTAATATAGTAACTCACTACAAACCTATTTAAAATCCTGTCTAAAGTACAGGGTTTCACTAGGCTGGATAGTCGTATCACTGAAAACAGTTATTGCAACCTGTATTTGAGTAACAATGCATTTCTATAGGATAAAAATGAAATTGAGGCATCCTGCTTAGATAAAACCCCTCTGAAACCTCAAGAGGATAGTGAATTTTCTTAGCTGATGCTCAATGCATTTCTCTCTGTTATAAACAGAAAATGTGGAATTAGACCCGTTGTTGGGTTAAATTATCTTAAGATATATCTGCATGCTATCTTTGCCTATTGTACACCCAGCATGGATTCTTTTGTTGCAGGCCTGCTGACAGGTTTGCGTCCCTTTGCAAACTATGCTGTAACCCTAATGGCTTGCACTTTGGCGGGCTGTACGGAGAGCTCACATGCCTTGAACATCTCCACTCCACAAGAAGGTAAAGTAATTTCAAAGGTCTTGACTTCCACATTTCAGTCATGAATAATAAAATAGGAAAGGAGCTAAATGCTGCAAAGCCATTTGCTGGAAAACCCCAACCTAATTTGATGACAAAGTGCATTGCCAGACCATAATTGCTCCATTTTTGGGGGGGTGCTAAAATGAATCAAACTCCATACCCTTTAATGACATGCATCTTTAATAGCTGTAATGCAGATTAATGGGCTTTTTAATTGCTGTTACATTGTTCATGCAAGAGCCTTGTCATTAATATGAAGCATCTGAAAGATTAATGAAAGCTTCCTCATTTTACTATGGCTCAGAAGTAAATCTAGAGACAGTCTGACTAAAAAGAATTGATTGTATGGCACAGTATGAAATTGAGAATCAAACGGTTGATTTCCATGGTCTCTTTTAACTGCTAAACACCAGCACAGGCAACAATTATTTCAGCCTGATGGAACCTCAAAATGCCAATTGAGCCATTTATTAATCTGTTGTACTTGAAACTTAAAAGTTACAATCTTAAATTATAGTTCTGAAGCTGGTATTAACCACAAGAGTTACAAGAAAGAGAAAAAGTTTGCCTTTAGCTTATCTCAATAATGTCTATGTATTGATTAATGTGAAGTTCTCAAAAAAAATTGCAGCACATTTACCTTAAGCATAAAAGGATATGATGTAAGCCAGTTTTTAAATTCATGCCAATCTAAATCCAGAGTTTTCCTCATGAAATAACATTAATTTGGTTATTTCACTCAGAGTCATTTTGAGAGTGACATGGGCAGTACCTATATTAGATAGATAGATGATAGATAGATAGATAGATAGATAGATAGATAGATAGATAGATAGATAGATAGATAGATAGACAGACAGATAAAATAAATATTGATTAAAAATTTAGGTAGAAGGAGCTGTCTTTTAGAGAATGATGCTGTATCAGGATCATGTAAAATATCCATAAACCATGTGTTAATTTCCAAATTGAATTTTTTTTCTTCATGTTCAATTTATTATATGTTCAGCTACCACACAATTCAGTCTGAACATCTAAATAACTGTCTAATAACTGGGACAATATCAAATAAATATAGACATTCAAAAAAAGTAAAACACATCTTTCCCTATAATCTTAATCTCAGTTCAGGAAGAAGGCAATAACTGCATGACGGACTAGAAATTCCTTATCACGCTCTAGTTGATATAGCAACCCCCAAATTTGTGGTTTATTGGTAAATATTTCTTGGCTAAAGACAAACCCAACTCATGCGATTATATGGGAATAGGTGGTAGAGTCCTTTTCACAGAGGTATCAATTACCCAGCCCAGAGCAGATTTATGCATGGCTGTTTCATACATTTTGTCACCCTCCTTACATCTAAATGGGAATTAATTAGTTCAGACTTTAACTCCAGCTCAAATCAATAGAGAATCTTTAGCCCAAAAAAGTGATCACACTTGCAAGCAAGAGGGAAAGATTAACTCAGACAAAGATTAAAGTTCAAAAAATTTACAAGTTTATTTCATAAACATGGAGCATAAGGCATGCAATAAGTTTAGGTAGGCATTCAGCTGAACAATAATATTGTATCTCCTGATGTTGTATCAGGTAATTCTACTAACTTCTGCCTGACTGGAAAACTTTGAAAAATCCAAGTTGCACTGAGGCCAAGTGATTCTCTTACTAAGCCACCTGTTCTGACCTAGGCTTCCCACAAAAGCACAAAGCTGAGACCTCATCCCGATAAACCCTTTTTATTTGATCTGCAATAAATTTCCTGTCCAACAAAGTCCCAGCCAACAGTCTTTCATTATAGTTTCCAATTACAAACCTTTATCAGGCTTGGAGAAGGACCAGGTCTATAACTTTCAGATGCCACAATACTTGGCAAGTATGCTGGAGTGAACTAATTGTTTCCTGCAAAGCCCCCCTCCCCTTTCACTCCTCTTTTATACTCTAGGGGAAGGGCCATTCACCATCCACTTGTGGCTTTACTCCCAAGTCAACCCTTGTTCCTCAGCTGTTCCTTTCATCTGGCAATTCTGCACACTGGAAACAAGCTCTAGCTGTTCTTCTGCCTCACTGATGTCTGATTCCAAAGGCAGCTGATAACTGTCTGATGACTGTGGGTCCCATCTCTGCCTCTGATGCAGAGCATTTGTCAGAGCCTTCACCAAGACTCCACAACTGTCCCCTGTTCCTCCCCAACTTCCTCACTGTCTGAATCTATGGCTAGCCACTGTCGGGCTACAGCACCCCCAATCGATAGTGTAGCTGTCCCAATGTTCTTTCATGCCACTATCTGATTATCAACTTCACAAGCTATGAATCCAATAAATATGTTAGCCTTTTCACAATACTGATAGATATCATTGTAAACTAATAGACTTTGTACAATAATAATGCATAATTTGAAACAGTATATTCTGGCAAAATATGGAATCAAACAGTTGATGTACTTAGCTGGTAATTAATCATTTAACTGATTGGGACCCAATATCTCTGAAATAAGTATTTCTTGCATTTTTGTTTAGCTAAATGTGAGATTTTCAGTATTTGGAAATATGATACATCATGTGGAACTAAATAGGTGTAAATATCTAAGTTGGAGCTTGAGACAGATGATCTTCACACATTTCTAGTTTAACATGAATGGAGGAGAGAGCTATTTGTAAAAAAGTTTGGGTTTTATGAACATCTTTGTGATCTCTTCCAAGATGTAATTCAAAGTTCTTCTACTTCAAAATATACCTTTAAATTATCTGTTCACATAAGTCCTATTTATATTTCTAAATTCAATTAGCATCTCCAAAAGTATTCTAAATGCCCTCTTAGGTACATCAATAAATTGATAACCTAATGCTTTGCTACCATTTGTCATTATGAATTGAAGTATTTGTGGATCACTGTGAAAAAAACTAATATATAAATATGCAAATATAGTCAAGATAAATATAAATTAAATAAATAAATAAATAAAATTTCTAAAATAAATATTTCCTTTCAAATGATTGATATATTTAAACTAGGCATTCTATAAATGATTGAGAAAATGTATTTATAAAACATTATGTACGTAATGATTTTTTTTCTTCAAAAAAACAAAATCCAATAAAACCATGGAGAAAGTAAGTTTTACCCCTGCAAAGTGCTGGACACAAGTCAATTGCAGTTTCTGTTTGGCAATGCTTATATTGCATACATAGGAAAAATATCATCATTTTATATATCATAAAATATCAACAATCATATATTTCGGCTGTCATTTTCCCATTTATCATTTAATAAGTGCATTGCTAACCAATATTGGCCGATGCTATACAGAAAACTTGAGAATGGTCAAATTGTGTTCTCAAATTCACCAATTGAACTATACTGGGAGAATGCAAAAGATACCACCAAGTTTATTTTTGAGAGATTGTCTTCTTTCTATAGTATGTGTGTGCATTTCATTATAACTCTGCACATTGTATTATTTCTTACACAGTGCTTTGTACTCTGCTAAAATTAGAAAAACAGAATTCATTTTTAAGTGCAGTTTAAATAGATGTGGAGAGCCAGTTTGGTTTAATTGTTAACAAACTAGAAACATTCTAGCAAACTAGAAACAAGGATACCAGGATTTCTAATCCTACCTTAGGCACAAAGCTAGTTGGGTGACTTCAGGCCAGTCACTCTATCTCAGCCCATGGAAAGAAGCTATAGTATACCACTTTTGAAAACATTGCCAAGAAAACAGGGAGTAGTCAAGGCAATCATCAGATGCTGACACTGAATCAAAGACATCCTCCCCCCAAAAAGAGAGTTAATTTTATATTTTGAAATATGTAGATACATACAAAGGTAAACCCCTTAAAATTAGTGGTTCTGAATCATACAACTCATTAGATCATGAAGCTATCATTTATTCTTTCTTTCTTTTTTACAGCTCCACAAAATGTCCACCCACCCACAAGTGTTTCATTCCCCACATCTTTATGGTTGAGTTGGACTCCTCCAAAAGCACCAAATGGCATAATCACACAATATATTTTATATATGAATGCTCAACAAATTTATACTGGAAATGAAACCAAGCTTATTGTCAAAGGTGAGTTGTAACCGCCTGATATTACATTCACTTAGCTTTGTCTGATTATCCCTTTGGAATTAAACTTCAGATGAGTCAAGTACTGTATGGCACATATTAAGCCACTCTTTCCCCATATTAATTAAGTAAAAAAATGAAGGATTTGCTTTGCTCAGATTTAAAAACAATTGTCATCTAGCAATCCTTTTTTCCCATTTGAGCAGTAGATGATTTATACAGACTAACTTAAATATGGTTATATTAATGTGAGAAATTAAGAGATAAAAAGATTATATTTCTCTTTTAGCAGTCATTGAGTGATAAGTACAGATGTGTTAGCAAGACTATACGTGTTCCTTATCACATATACTTAAGAAGAAACTCAGTGATCAAAAAAACTTTAAAAGCCTCCCTCCTGCTCCTTCCTCCCATAAGTAGTCTAGTAAAGTAATGGCACAAAATGAAAACAACAACCAGAGAATTTAGAACTAATTGTCCTAGGAAAGTTCATAGTTAACTATGAAAAACCTTGGAAATTAGTAGTCCATTCTCCAACATTTTATTGCATGCTTTGTGAAGGCCTTTTTTACATTTTCATTATATGTCCAAGTAAGATGATTATTTAAATTGTCAGGGCATGCAGTGGTCATCTAGGGAGTCCTCTATGGGGAGAAAGAATGAAAAAGGTTCTAAATTCTCTAAAACTAAATTCTTAGTTCTAAATTCTCTGGTTGTTGTTTTCATTTTGTGCCATTACTTTACACGTGCATCATGCCATCACTCAAATGGCAGAATTTATGTACTTCTATCAAGACCATGAGACAACTGATGCACATAATAATTGTGTCATTTGTGTCATGCAACTGTGTATATTAACTTCTTGGTAGCATTATTAAGGTAAATATGCAGAGTATTCATGACTGTTTAAGCAACGTCACCAAACAGACAGAGTCCAGAGATTTTTTTAAAAATGCATTTAGATATTACAAACTCAACTTGAATTAATGAGTTCACTACTGGTTTAGGCAGACAGTGATTCTGGAATTCATTGATATTGCAGCTCAATATTCACTTCACACATGAGCCCGACTGAATTCAATCAGTTTTATTTCATAATGGATGTTCATAGTGTTGGCTACCTAGAGTGATTCTGATGTTGTTGGTTGGGTGAATATATGCTTTTCTATGAAATTGTGGGGTATATGATGTGTCAGTCTCATAAAAAAGAACACCCAGCAGTGTAGCTTCCCCAGTTACATATAAGACTGATAGGTAAGGCACTTATATGTTCTACAACTAACCAATTAATCTCAATTTTCTAACATGAGATGATACCTAGGGAGGTAATGAAATAGCTGCCAAATGAAAAAACAAGTTCAAAGAACCCCTACAACTTAACAAAGAACAATATACACATACATGCCAAATGGAGGCCAACCAAATATTCTCTGTATGGTTTCCAATACTTATCATATTCTAATCCCATTCCTTTAAAAACAGCCTTATTACTAGTCCATATTTCTGTTATGCTGTAAAAGAATCCACTTTCTCACAACTGTTTTTTTTCAAGTTAAGAGCTACTCAAACACATATTTACTTGTGTGTTTCTTTAAAATACTTCAGTTCTTTAAAATGCTTCAGTCAACTGACTTTAACTGGTTTACAGCAACAAGATAGATAGATAGATAGATAGATAGATAGATAGATAGATAGATAGATAGATAGATAGATAGATAGATAGAT